CTTTAGAGATTATAATTACTTATATATAATTTTCTAAAACCTCTAATATTAGATAAACATTTTTAGTATACGGGATTCGGCATGAGAGAAACATTAATGTTGTTATTGACAATGATAATGGTGTTAGATTAAATGGAAGAGGTAGCTAAATAATTATTGAATACTTAAGTTGTATCGTGTTTAATCTTGAATATTGTGGGTATTTAAGTTTGTAACAATCATTATGTAACTTGTAAAGTTAACAACATAAAAATTTGATAATGAAAAAAAAAACAAGTAAGATGGCTCCAGTCGAGACTGCTCGACTAGGAGATACCCTGAACCCTCTAAGCTGATATTCTAATTATACTGCACCTCTTTTATGCACACATACATACACATGCATCCACACGCACGCATAAGCCTGCGCTCTGCTAACTGCGCAGTAAGCAGCGACTGCGCTTGGGCTGCGCTGCAGTGTGGGCAATATTATGAGAATTTATTTGTCGAATAATTTCTTTTGTAGACATACGATCTTAATGAAACTTTCAGAGTGTAATCATATGGTAAATATGTGTGTACATTCCAAAGCACAAGTCTCTAGTANACGGACGGACGGACGGACGGGCGGACGGACGGACGGACGGACGGACGGACAGACGGACAGGGCTATATCGACTCAGCTCGTCACGCTGATCAAGAATATATATACTTTGTGGGGTCTGCCACGCCTCCTTCTGCCCGTTACATACTTTTTCACAAAACCATTATACCCTGATTTCCCATTTTCAATGGGTTCAGGGTATAAAAACTGACAAGTAGACCATCTCAAGTAAATTAGGTTCCAGTTCTATTAAACCACATAGAATTGTATGCATAAAGAAAATAATCACAAAACACAAAACATATCCCGATTTGCTATTTTCAATGGGTTAAGGGTATAATAAAACTATTTTTGATAAAAACAAAACCACAAAATGAAAGATAAGTTAAACCACAGTGCTTAGGACTCGGCAGTTAAGTGAAACTTGTCTCTGCAAAACAACAAACTGTGACGAATGGGGAAATGGGTATTTAAAAGAGAAGTGAAGTGCGCATATTGAAATATATTTAAACTAGCCGCGCCAGACGTCGAAATTGAAAATTTTTCGCAATGAGTCGAGCTGAATGGGAGAACAATGAAGAAATACAAATCTTCCGTGAATATTTGCGCATTCCATCGGTGCATCCAAATGTGAATTACAGTAAATATCAGAGCTGATAAAAATAAGAATCTTGATGAAATTGGATCTATCTCGGGTTTACAGCTGCCTGTGTGGAATTCTTGAAACGTCAAGCAGCGAGCCTGGAGCTGCCTGTAGAAGTTGTGTCGGTCGGATTGAATCCGGTTGTTGTTATAAAGTGGCTAGGCAAACAGCCTGAGCTGCCTTCCATTGTCCTAAACTCGCACATGGATGTGGTTCCGGTGTTCCCAGACAAGTGGACGCACGAGCCGTTCAATGCCGAAATGGATGACGAAGGTCGCATTTATGCTCGAGGCGCTCAGGATATGAAGAGTGTTGCAACGCAATATCTTGGGGCTGTTCGGTCTCTGAAAGCCAGCGGCTATCAGCCCAAGCGCACTGTGTACCTCACCTTTGTGCCTGATGAAGAGGCTGGCATTACCCCGGGAATGGCCAACCTGGTCAAGACGGATTACTTCAAGAGACTCAATGTCGGATTTAGTTTGGACGAGGGCATTGCCAGCGAGGACGAAACGTATTCTGTGTTTTATGCAGAGCGAACTATATGGCGTAAGTGCGGGCAGCTTATATTGAGATCCTCATTGAGATTCTTGAATTCCTGCAGACCTAAGGCTTAAGATCCGTGGAACTTCTGGTCACGGTTCGCTGCTTCTAAACAAAACCGCCGGTCAAAAGTTCAGCTACATTTTGGTCAAAATTATGGAATTCCGTGATTTGGAGGTGCGAAGACTTGAGCAAAACTCCAAAGTAGACATTGGAGACGTTACCACCATGAACCTTACCCAACTGGGCGGCGGTGTCCAAAGCAATGTAGTGCCGCCGTTGCTGGAAGTGGTCTTTGACATTCGAATCGCCATAACAGTGGACACTGATGAGCTCGAGAAGAAAATTCGGGACTGGTGCGAGGAGGCGGGAGGCGGCATTGAGTTGGTGTTTGAATCGAAGGAGCCCTTTGTACCGCCCACTAAAATCGATGCGTCGAATCCCTACTGGCTGGCGTTCAAGCAAGCCCTAGACGAACTGTAAGTAAGGAGGAAGCGATTCGCTCGAGTGCTCAACTTTTTTTGTTTTTGTTTTTAATTCAATATAGAGGAGTGAAGACTCGCCAACGCGTGTTTCCTGGCGGCACCGACAGCCGTTTCCTGCGACAAGCTGGCATCTCGGCCTTGGGATTCTCGCCAATCAATAACACGCCCATCCTACTGCACGACCACAACGAATACTTGCGAGCTGACACCTACCTGCGTGGCATTGAGATTTACAAGAAGCTAATTGCAGCTGTGGCCAATGCCTAGAGCATTTTACTTTTAATTAATGTCGATTTCAATAGTTTGATTGATCTGCTATTCAACAATAAACATACTTGAGGTTAAATGACAAGTAAAGCTTCTGATAATGGGCTAATTTTCAATCACAGCAAACTTGTTGATAAGCGGCATATCACTCAAATTTATTATAATGGGAAATGTAGCTGATAATAAAAAGCAGACCCCTATCTATATACATACGTATATATTTATTAATAACAGAACTTTGCTCTATCGTTGTCTGTGTTAGAACCGGTAGCTGCCGTCAGACACTGAAGCACTTTCCGCTGAAACATGTTGACCAATTGGTAAAATGAGTAAATTGGAATTACTTAGAAGTCGAAAGATGAATTCGCATTACGCAACAGATTTTAGATTAGTTGGTAATTTAATTTAGTAATACCGAATTACAGGAAATAAAGAAAAAGAATCCACTGACTCAGCAAGGCATCTGGATTCTTGGAATCCCATCCAAGTGTAATTTAATCGTCGAACCATAGAAGGTTTTTATATATGTATAT